TTTGGCTTCCATTTTGCTGATTTGAGGGTCTTTTTTCTGCCTTTTTAGCTACCATGCTAATTTCAACTATTTTGTGCTTCTTTAGCTTCTCTCWGCTATTTTAAGCTTTGTATGCTTCTTTAAGCTGCTTTGTGCTAATTTCAGCTGTTTTTTATGTTTTAGCTAATTTTAGCTTTTTCAACTAAATTAATCTTTTTGTAATTATTTCTTTTTTCTGCTCAGTTCAACACTTGTGCTCTTTCTGATTCTTTGTGCTAATTTCAGCTACATTTGTTATTAAGTATAGGCTAGTTTAAGCTTTTTTTTTTTTAGTTATTCAGCATCTTTCAGCATTAAGCAGTCGCACTGGAATGCAAATTTTCTAGGTAATCTCTGTTTCCTAAAGTGAAGTTGGTAAAAATATAAGATAACAGTTCTTTGTAATGTTTTCACAGAACCCTACTTCAAAAGATCTGAACCGACATAAAATGTGTATTTAGTAAATCACAGTGTCTGCTTGAATTTGTTCAAATATATTTTCGAGATGTGTTCTTTAAGTGATTCAAAATAAAGTTGTGTCARAAAAAATAAAGAGACACGAGACAACTTTATAGCAAAACGACTTGTGCAGAAGCGTGAGCTGGTGTTTGAATGTGTGCGACTTTCCCCTTCGCCTCGGCTCAAGCTTATTCTGTTGTGAGTGACGAGCAGAAGGGTTTGAAGGAGCAGATCAGAGGATGTGTAGAGGCTCACTGAGCACCGGGGTGAGATTAGCTCTCTCACAGAGGAATCAAACTGACCTGGGAGGCATGCCATCAGAAGGACAGATGGATGAGAACTATTGACCTGCTGACCTGCATCAGATTCTCACTAACTCATGCTAATTCGGATGCAAATGGATACAAATTCCCCCTTTGACTTAGCTTTTTGTTTGTTGCTCATTTTATATATGTGTGTATTTTTTTTATTTCACAAGTCTGTTTCACTAAAACTCCCAAGCATAGATTACACAAAGCAACACTGACACACTCACACCAACAAACACATTTTCCCTCATGGCGTGCCCTCATGGTGGTCGGTTGCACTTCTAAAGGCTTAATCTGTTGGTCCCACCTCCCTGGTTAAGAGAACAAAGGCCCCTCTCCCRTGACACAAAGGGAGCTCACACACCCCTACACATACGTCCGATTTCAGCCCCAGACGGACCACCCATCCTTGAAGACCATTGCCTCATGCACAAGGGAGACACACCAGCAGCCGGTAATGACAAGAACATCTAGCAGCTCATACTCACATCGTTCAGGCATTAAAGTCTCCTTTACTCAGAGTGGGTCGTTCACACACACACACACACACACACACACACACACACACACACACACACACACACACACA